ATTGCAGTCCCCAAAGTATATATGAAGCTTCCAGTAATATAAGGATGGGATGTGATGGCTGGAAAAGCAGAAGATTCTTTTACTTTCTCTTATTTTTATAATGAAAATATTAATCTGGGTAAGCATCTAGCCTATGGTATGTAGTAAATGCCAGTTACCTTTTCTAGTTGTTCTCTACAGGCTAGGCTTATCCTAGCCCTCATCATCCTTCTCCTTTCAGGCAACGAAGCTCGTCTAGAAAACTAGGTAACTGAAAAGACAGTACAGTGTGGGTAATGCAGTTGGTTCCTAGGTCTCTGCGTCCTCTCCCCCATTGTGCCAGAAAAGGGCTGAGAAAACAATTTCCCATGTGGCTTTCTTGGGGCCCAGCCAGCTTGTGCTGCACCTGGCTAGTGAGCTGAAACTCTCTAGTGCACAGTCCTATCTTTTTGGCCATGATAATTGTAGGGAAAGAAGCGCACACACATGCTGATTTCACAGGCTGTCTTCAGGATCTCAACAGCCTTGCGGTGCTCAATATCTTGGAAATCCACATCATTCACAGACAGAACTTGGTCCCCTTCTTGAAGTCCTGCTCGATGTGCATCAGAATCAGGAATCACCTTGGAAATGAAGATGCCTAGCTCTGAAGCCTTTCCTCCTCGGATGTTAGATCCCAACTGAGCTCCAGGAGGCTTCTTAAGTGTGACAATTCGGGGTAGAAACTGGGTCAACTCATTGTTGTAGTCTGGGTGGTATACTCTCTGCAAGGCAGCAACTCCAGAAATCTTACTACCAGTCCTGGATATCATACTTACCTTCTTCTGGAACACTCATGTGGTGGAATCCATGCTGGGGGATTCTCATAGGCAGGTAGGAAAACCACTGGGTAGTCATCATAAGGAATCCGGCTGTCCATCCTGGGCCAGGTCCGGCACACAGGCCTCGCAGCCCGAGAATGGGCGAGCCGCCAATTCAGTCTCGGCTTTACTTCTTATACTTCGTTTTTATGCTTTTTTGCTGGATGGTTAAGACCAAGATAAAGCAAGACTTATTAAACAAGAATTGTAGCTTTTTCCCGCATAATTTTATTGAGAAAGAAATAGCAATGAGACTGTTTCAAATCAAATTAGTAGGACAGTTTCAATAATTAACACATTGCATATATTCTTCCTAGTGGTTACTTGCTGTACAAGATGTGGACATGATATCTTATTTACAAACACTATTAAAACAAATCCTTCTATTCATTAAGAGAATGCAACTATATATCTATCCTAGAATTG